AAAAAAAAAAAAAAAAAAAAAAAAAAAGCAATGAACCAAAATTGTCCAGAAACAGAATTAAAATCATTTAATCTGTAGTGTTGTAAGAGTATATAAAAACTGTCCCTTGCAGAATTCCAAAGTGTCATCGTCTGCTCTTCGGATGCTGCTCACTTCTCTGTGTTCACAATAACCTCAGCTGATGTAACAGCTAACTGTTTAGAAAGTCTGTCTGGAAAGTCTACAGGGCAGCAGTCCTGAAATGCCTTCCTGTCAGATGGAAGCAGTTATACCCGAACATGGACCCTAAAACAGGTAATAGGTAACCTAAAGAGAAGAAAAAAGGATAAATCTTTTTGGATTTCTCTTCTACATTAATCTTAGAACCCCAAAACAGAGAAGAAATTGGGCCACTGGATCAAGACACAGGAAGAGAAAACTGGGCAGTTTTATTGTATATTCTACATCAGGCACTGACACTGTATCATTAATTGGGCCAAATCAGTATGAACTTTTCATTAGTCCCTGTATGTGCTACTCTATCCCATCATGTTTAATACACCCACTGGCGAGATCTCGGAATGGCAAATTTCCACTCTTCTCATTAATATGGTTCAAATGTCAGAACCACACTTTCTCTTGTTTATGCTGATTCCTTTTTTGGCAGGAAAAGTGATGGATCTGCCACGGCTTTGTTTGGTGCCAATCTTGACCAACCACCACATCCAGCAGCTGCTGTGCAAGGACAAACAGCCATCCACAGACAAACGCTGCAACTCTGAGCCTGTGAGCAGCACTTCTGCCTCCTGGGAGCCGGCGAACCAAGCCTGCGTGGTTAGCAACAGCATTAACATGAGTCACGTTTGTTAGGCATCTACTGCACGTGAATGCAGAGGACTTGCAGTAACAATCGAGTTAAACACTCCCTTCACAGTAGATCTGGAATCCCTGTCACCCATTTCTGTCTAAACTTCAAGCTTCCCGTATAGGACTCAAGAATAACCATGTCACATGGAAAAGCGCTAAAAGGATTTTAGCATAGTCAGAGTTCAGGGGTGGATCAATCTGGTTCTCTGAGATGGGTCACAACTTGGGTGCCATTAGTCAAAGGCAAAAGGTTTACATGATGTGAAGAGAGACATATCTCAGGTGCTTTTACAGAAAAAGATGGTGCATGTACTGTACCTGCATCTAGGAGCAGCTTCACGATCTCAAAGTTGGAATGGGAAACGCTGTAGTGGAGAGCTGTGTTGCCATTGCCGTCGGCCATGTTGATGACGTGGCGGAGCACTTCCGGGGAGACAGCCTCGAAGGCAGCTATGTAGTCCCCCACCATGGCTGGCACGGCTGACTTCTGACTGGACACGCGGAACCACTCATGCTGGAGGGTGTTCAGACAGAACCTCTGCCAAGACACACAGCCGCCATTAGTTCTTCTATTTATAGGCCTTTCTCAGGCTGAGCTGCAAGGCCAAGTAACCAGGCCTTTTATAGTCAAAGTGTGTGCAGTTAGAATCTGCTCTTAAAAATAGCTAACAAAGCCCAGAGCCCTAAGAACAGCCTTCAACACTGGACTGGAACCTCCCTCTTGACTTAAACTGCACAGCATGTATTCCAGTTTCTGTAAAAGAGGTCAATCACAGGGCTCTGTGTGAGGGCACTGTGTCTGGAGCCAGAACCCCCAGGCTCAAATTTGGGTTCTGCTCCTTGGGGAAGTTACTCATTGGGTAATTCAGTTTCCTCATCTGAAAAATAAGGAAAATGCTTTCTCTTTATAATGTTTGTAAAGATAAAACACTGAGGCCTGATTTGACTTTTGAGCTGTTACTGTTATAGAATTGGACTGGGCTGGCCTGGCAAATGCTTTTCATAGAAATCAGAAAGAAGTCAAATGGCCACCCTTCATTATGCAGCCTCCTTCCTAGCCAAACCAACCCCAAGCTCTCTCACCTCCTCCACAGCACTGGGTTGGGAAACCCTAACATGCAGCCAACCAACTCCAACTAATCTCAAATGCAAATGTCCAGCCATGGAGAAGGTACTCAGAGAAGTCGGGGAGAAATTTCATCTCATCGGGATCATCCATCCCCACTCTAACTTCATTAGGCTGTGGACATACCAACCTGGGGTTTGCTTCATGGGTGAGCAAGTCCAACCTGGGACAGATGCAGCTCAGTGTAAGCTGGGCATAGCCCGGGGACAGAGTCTAGTTATGTGTGCTTTTTTTATTTTTGAAAAATCCTTATTTGTTAACAGTACAGCACAGAATAGAATGTCTTCATCCTAAGCATCAACACCCACGAAAATGTTCTTTAAATCCCAGCCTCCTTGTTAGTATGGTGTCCGTGTCTTCATTTTCCTGCTGCTGAAAATTCATTTTTAACCCATTCATGTTTTGAGTGACTCAAAAAGGGTCCTGGCCAGAAAAAAATTAACCTAATTTTCCTTCTCCTTTGTTCAGTGTCTTACTTAGCCTTCTACTTCTCTGGACTTATCACACAAAAGTAAGTGAAATTATATACTCTGGCATTCGTAACTCTGTTACTGCCAAGTAATCAGGGTCCTGAAAGGATTATCTGGCTCTGGTACTGTGATCACTCACATGACCAGTACTTTGCACAGAATAATACTTCAACACTTTTGCAATGAATGAAAATTCAATCAACAAAAACTATAAGGGAGTCAGAGAGTGTATGACACCATACTCGAGAATTCAGGTGACACAGAAATGTAAAGTCCATAAAGACCAAATGACCCTGAATTCTGAGAAAAAAAAACAAACAAAACAAAAAACCCTTAGATTACAGCTATAAAACATGAGGTCCTAAAACACCTGTTTCAAACTGAGGCTAAGCCCAGTGTTATGCTGACACTGAAGTTACATTTCACAGTTTTACTATCTGCAACAAAAGTATAGATGGTATTGCTGAACTTCAGGATGTAGTCCTAGGGGCCAGGAGTGTTGTTCAGTGTAGAACATGTGCCTCATATGCACGAGGCCCTGCTTTTCATCCTCGGCACCAATGAAGAAACAGAAAAACCTCAACGTGCAGTTGTGTTACCCAATGACCAGGAATTTTATTTGGTATTTCCTTCTGTAAATGTCAGCGCTGTGCTACTTTGTCAGCACACTAAATGAACATCAAGACTCAGCTGGCTCTGATGAATGTTTCTGTAGCAATATCAACAAGTATGAAAAGACATCATAAAATTTTTAAAATATGCCACGTGATATGGTTATATCCCTTAACTGCAGTAACAAAAAACTGAAAAGAAACATGCTTAAGATAGGTTCTAATCCCAGAACTGTGGGTGTAATCTACTAGCGGCTGCTCTAGCCACACAATCTTAAGGGTCTCGGGAAAGGGGCTGCACCAGCGCAGCCACACAGGCCAGTGGCACCTGGGGTGGCTGGCACAGGCAAGAGGCACACCAGTTTTTAACAGAGTTCCAAACAGGATTTTCACGTTAAGAGGAAAACTGCCTTGCCAGGATTACATAATTCCTTAGGTCCCTTCTAGTCCTAACATTTTTATTTCATAATTGTAGAATCTTGAGAACCTTATAATCAACTTTTTCACCAACTGCTGATTCAAATGCACATGGTTAAACATGAGAAGCTGTATTTTCTCAATGCACTGAAGATGCAACTATCAGGCACAGGGTGGATCTGGTTTATAAAAGGCTGCATGTAAAAACCTCAGTGCATGAAAGACTGTCTGTCATACTTGGCCAAGGCATCAGATGAACCGTGACTATAGTAATCTTTGTCCTAGCTTGTGCCATTCGTGATCACCAAGACAACCACAAACTCCGTTGTCTGCTTCTGGATCTCTCAAACTGAAACAAGTGCATTTATTTTTCTGCTCAAACACAGTGACCACCTACATTCTATATCAGAACAAAATATGCAGCTTAGTAAGTAAAAGGAATGTTGACCTCGGCCCAGACAGAGCTATCTGAACTTAAAAAAAAATTCTGGGATGCTGTTCCTGGGACCAGCAGGTTCTCTGAACAAAAGCAGAACATGTAGGAAAAAGGTAAGTGCCTGCAACCAGCTGTCCCTTCTGTCTGCAAGTATGTGCTCCATAGATGTCCACAGAAGCACAGAGTGGGAAAGAACTATGCAGAGTCAGGCCCTGGGGAAACCCTGGGTGTGCACGGGGGAGCCAGGCAGCACGAAGAGCACCCACTGCTTCTGTGAGAATAGTTCAGGGGAGATGCACACTGCACCTTGTCGGTGATGCCACCTGGGCACTCTGTACAGTCCAGGGACAGCGTTAAATGCAAACTCACCAGGTCTTTGCTGGTCAAAGCTTTGGGATCGTTAATATTATTTTTCAGTAATTTGCATGCAGACAACATCTTTTCACTTAATTCATACCTAAAAGAAGAGGAAAAAAGAGAGCTCAGGATTTGACCACAAAAGGCAAGTCATTTTTATCTCCAACTCTTGACCCTTTAACGACAATGGCTCTGAACTAGCCTTGGCCTACTGTGATTGCTGGAGGTGTCTCCAGGCAGACACGGTTAACCTGAGTCTACAGCACCAATTCCTCTGGCCAGAGCACAAGGTCTTTTCATGAGGGCAGCTTGCAGCAATACCAGTATGGCTTTCATGACATTAGAGAATAACTCTTGAGATTTAAAAATTTTAAACTTTTAATGGGCCAAGGAGATCTAAACTTCTTCATCTCCATTATGCTCACCAGTACACCACACATCTGATGACTCAAGAAGCATTTGTACAACTGTATGAAAAATTAAAAATCAAATGGCACATAGGAAATATGTTACATCTCAATAGACCTGTTTTTAAAAAACCAGATGACATTTCAAACCATTTGAAACACTTGGAAATATGTTCTTGAAACACTTACCTTATGTTAACGCAATTAACTTTCATTTGCCAAATTAGTTTTCTCTACTTATCCCTTCCATGGTGAAAAGGCATACTGAAGTTTCCACTTTCTAAATTTTGTCTTGTTTATATGAGGATCAAATCCATTTTTGCTAACGGGCTTTAAAATGCACTTCATTTTTAGGCACAAGTGTTAGCCAAGCAGAGTTTGGCATTTTATTTCAACTGCTATTTGTGACGTTTCCACATCCTTGGTTGTGCTCACTTAGAGCAACTAGAGACATATGACTGATACACATCTGCACAGTGAATGTGCAAATGTGATCTTTGGGTGAGACTAAACACCTGTTTCTCATGCATACTGTGTTTACGCTGCTAATATGAAATGGCTTGATAACTGGCTGAAGATAAAATATGAAATAAAAATCTGAAAATCTAGTTACCAAAAACTTGAATTATGTCTTTGAATATAAGCTAAAGTGGATGGTGGTTCCCTGTATAAAATGAGGTAACAAAAAGTCGAAGTTTCAGAAAACAAAGGAGACTATCAAGCCACTCTTTGCTACTCTAACAGATCTAGGAGTTGCCATACTCCGCACCTGTGTTAGTGCTGTAACCAGGCACATACACTTCCGATGTGCGGACGAAGACATCCCCATAACAATATACAACTGCAAAATTTCTGAATTGGGCAATTCCACTGACAAATTACTAAGTGTGGGAGGGTTCAGGGGAGGGGAGGGAAGGTACCACACCTCTCTATGATTTCCACCTTCTCAGGTTCACATTCTTGAACCTGCATTTCATGGTCCACCCTGGCAGACTTGAAACCTTCAGTATTAACTGCATGGTGCCCTTCCGCCATTCCCCGAGTGTCTTCATTCTCCTCTTCTTCAGGAGGATACTCAATGACATCACACTCGTCATATGACTCGGAAGAAGAGCTTTCATCTGAGCTGGAATCATCACTTGAAGTTGTTTCATACCTAGGTGGCAATTGGGATTTTCAAGAGATGCAAGGTATGCCCATAAAGACCCAGCGACCAAAATTTCTGTGAAGGGAAGGCTGCTGACTCGACTCCAGAAATCTCACCATTGGTTTTAGACTGGTGCTTAGAAGAGCAATGTGAGGTCTGTGTGAGAACCTGGTGGTTTTCTTAATGGGTTCTGACTTAAAAGGGACACTTCGGGTTGCCAAGTGGTATCATACACCACCTGTTAAAAATCAGGACTCCTCTGGCCACACAGCTGCTCATTTTTAATTTTCTTTCCATTCTTGCCATCTTGCCCCATTCATTCTCCCAGTGTCAAGGTGAAACACTTGTAAGTAACCAATATACCTCCTCTGATGCCCGACTTCCAAAATCTGAGGCACCTCATCCTGTGAAACATTTAAGGTTTGGAAAATGGATCCCCCATCATGATAAGCCTTGGCAGCTCACTCTACTATAAATATTATTCCAACTAACTGCACTATTGCTTCTTCATTAATCAACTAATTGCTTTGATTTGACTGTAGGAGGATAAACAGGCTTAAGTATTTACATGAGTCAACTGGAAGAGGAGGAACAAACAACTAATAAGCATCCTATTTAGAAAGAAAGGAAGCACTGGTGTGTCTGGATTACTCCTCAGGTGAAAAGTCTACAGTTTTTCCATGAACGTGGGAGCTAAGCAAAAGGCAACCCATGCTAGGAGGTAGACAACTGTCAGTGAGCCCTGGAGTGATGTTCTTTTTCTCCTCCTTTCTGAGTTATAACCCTAACCCTAACCCTAACCTGCTGCTTTTTATTGAAGACTTTTTTTTTCAAGACAGAGATGAGATGTCAATAGCTCAGCTTCATCAGGAATCCTTAAAAGAATGACATATCCTTAAAGACAGCAAGAGGAGGGAAGCAGAGTAGCTCAAATGCACCTTTTTGAAGAGGAATTCTTCCTTCACCCAGATGCAGCAGTATCTCAGGCCTAGCACTTTGAACTGAGACTTTAAGCAGGTAGGAGGCGAAGGAGACAGACAGATATTGAGATCCAGTACCACCATCTTTCCTTACCCTCCATTAATGCCAACAAACTGAAGATTCTTTTTTGCACCATTTGAATCTTTATTCCCATCTTGCTTCTTCATGATGGACTTCAGTGTACTTTCATTATTTGTACATACTATGAAAAAAAAACATCACAATAGTCAAAATTAACATAGCTCATACAAGCGAAATGAACAGGTAATCTGTCTTCCTGTCTGACTCTTGTCCCTTATGTACGTCAATGTAGATTTGGCATGCATACACTAGAAATCTGCACAAATCCATAGAAAAAATGTGTGCATGCAGAGAATAAATTCCTCTTAATAGCGTTCTTTAAATGGGGAAAATTTCTGTTAGTACTTCCAGACATCACAATGCCAGTGACACCTGGCATCTCATCAGGTTTACTGTTCACAGAGATGTGTCTCATTTCAGAGGAAATAACCTGGAAAAAGCATTTGCCTGCCAGAATGTGAAAAAGTGAAATGCTGTTTACATCATTTCATAACTGGCAATACCAGATAAATTGTAAAATTAAGATTATCAAAGAGAGTTTAATTTTAAGAAGCTATTGTAGGCCTTTCTTCCAAACAACTATCTAACTCTTTCTCCAGGTCAGTTTAGAAGGCAATTTGTCATTTAACTGGAATGCTGGCAGTGGGGCCCAGAAAGAACCCTGATGCTAAGGGCAGTAACTTACTGTAGAGGCCAGAAGCCACCTGGTCATCTGTGAGGTTCACCGGGGCCGGTGTGCTCTCCTGAGAGGGGAAGGTCTCCTGGCTGCTCATGGGCGTCCCTTCTGCAGTGCCCACCTCGTGCTCAGGCCGGGACATCTGAGCGCTCAGCAGGTCTCCATACATACAGGTATATTCCAAATCACATCCTGTCCGGAAAGAGCAGGTCAGAGTAATGTGATACCAGGGCTGGACAAAATGGACTGAAAAAAAAAAAAGTCTTGCAACTCGCCCATTTCTCAAGCGCTTCCTTCCCATGTTTTCTTATTAAATGACACCACCCCTCCCTAAGATCCCTAATCCCCACTCTCCAAGGTGACCTCTGACTCTTGATTTTTCTTCCATTATCTGCCAAAGCTTGTCATTCTAGCTTCACACGACCACTTTTGTGTGTCCTTGCGTTCTCGAGTTGGCTCTGGGTGACAGCAGTCACCTCCATGCTATCGCCCCTCTTACTGCTGCAGGGGATTACTTTTTTTGGTACCAGGGATCGAATCGGGTCCTTGCACTTTCGAGGCAGGCGGTGGAACCACTGAGCTAAATCCCCAGCCCAGGGGATTACTCCTTCTGAGGTCTTATGCTAACATTACTGTAGCTAAAACAAGGCCTGGCACCCTCACCCCGGGCCACCTGGGAAACCCGGCCCACAGTGTTTAACAGATACACCAGGCCATCTGTAACACGGCACCAGCTCTCCCCTGCAGCTCCACTCCCACCACTGGTCCTTTCTGGGACGGGGAGAGCGTCCTGGTGGAGGGAACCGCTCTTCTGGCTGGAGGGTAGGGGTCCGGCTCATTCCTCCTCCATGGGAGGAAACCCTTCTTCCCTTCTCCACACGGCCCACCCTCCCACCTTGCCCTCTTCAGGGCCTTCCCTCAGCTTTCTAATTAAACACAGCTCTCCTTTCTCTGATCTCTCACAGCCCAACTTCCTTACCTTCATCTGGGATCCACAGTACAAGGTACAAGACGAGTTTTGTGACTCTCCCTTGTGGACTATGTAAAATCTACATGTATTTTTAAGAGTTATTTGGAAGACTAGTAAAATAAAAGTTACGATTTAATTGCCCCCCTTTATTTGCCACTATATCAATAATGAACATAGATTGTGTTTAAAAATCACTTATAAAAATAATTCTTTGATTTCTAGAACTTTTATCTGAAGGATGTACAAAAAGATATAGAATGGTAGTCAGTTTTCATACCAGAATCAGTGAAGAGAGCAGGCATCACAGTCTGCCCATAAGAAACTAGTAAGTGCGGGGACATGAGACAGGGAAACTTTTAGCCATTAAACAGGTTGATGGAGAAAGGCATTTGTAACACAATAATGAGCACAGCCTGTTTGAAAATGGGTTATAAAACAGTATGGGCAATTATTAGTAAATAGTTTTATGTGCGCGTATTTTTTAAAACCTGGAATGTAGAGGAGAGAGAGAGAGAGAGAGAGAGAGAAAAGAACATTTAAAATTTTTTATTCTTTTGGGATGCTGGGGATGGAACCTAGGGCCCAGGGCCTGCAGCAGGCCAGGCAAGTTCTCTACCACAGAACCCCAGCCATTTAATACTGCTTTTTTTTTTTAAAAAAAAACTACCTTTAGTACTGTTTTATTAAGGGCAAAGAGTTACAGTTGGTTATAGTTTTTCTTCTTTGCATGTTATTTCTAAATTATACCTTATAGACATAAGGTACTAACAAAATACATTTAAAGCTGCTCCCAATGTTGTCATGGGAATTTGATTACAGTTTTTGCTTTTAAAAATAAAGCTGTGAGGGCTGGGGTAATTTAGTTCAGTGGTTCTACCACCTGCCTCGCAAGCACAATGATCTGAGTTTGATCCCCGGTAACAAAAAACAAAAACAAACAAAAAAAAGCTTTGAAATCCATTAGATGTTTAGACAGAAAGGAAATTAACCACTGTATTTGGAGGCAATCTAAAGAAGGGTTACTCATGGAAACCCTAAACCCTAAATCTAAGTTGTTCCTAACAATCACCAGGTGTATCAAGTGCACATCACCAGGCACCCACTGCCAGGAAGTCACTGTCCTGGGCCAGGGCTCAGGGATGAGCCTTTCTGATACCCCCTACGCCAGAGGTTTTGGTGCAGTGGCCCATTTTGAATGTCAGCTGTTTCAAACAATGGCAAAATAGATTTTAAAAGGAGGAAGGGCAAGCAAAATATTCAAGATGAGAGATCATCCAGAATTGTTCATTTTCGGATTTCTACTTACGAATTCTGAAGGTCAGAGATTTGGTAACTTGCCCGAGGCCATGCAAGCTGGACCAGAACTCACTTCCCTAATTCTGTGCACAGTGCCTTCTGCCTTCCTCCTCCAGTCCTGCAGGCACTGCATGTGCACGTAGGATCCTTCACAAGCCCGCCTGCCTCCACACACACAGGCAGCACTGTATGCAGCCCTCCAAACACAGTCCCTAAATGCTAGTGTGAAATGTCCAGCCTGCCTTTAACTTCCTCTAAGTAAAATCAATAGGCCGGGCAACGGCATCTTTCATTTCCTCCACCTCCTCCATTCATCAGTAGTTTGAAATGCCTGCCTCACCTCCAAAAGGTCTCTCTGGTTATTGTGAGCGCGAGCACTCCTAAAAGAACACTCCGAGTAACCATTTTCCCATGAAGAGACCCAACTATCTATCTATCTATCTATTTGATACTGGGGATTGAACTCAGGACCTTGCATTTGTGAGGCAGGCACAGCATCATCGAGCTAAATCCTGGGCCCCCAACAATCATCATCATCATCATCATCATTATTTTGGTACTGGGCAACAAACTCAGTCCCTTGCGCTTGCAAGGCAGGCAGCAAAACCCCTGAGCTAAATCCCCAGCCCCAACAATCAGTTTTTAAACACAAACACATCAGTAACATTTTACCATCATTGAAACCTTAAACATATACAAGTGGGCAACAGCACAATCTGGCATCACTTAGTGATGAGGACACATTTTGAGAAACACATCCTTAGGTGGTGTGCATGGAGTGGGCACCAGGGTGCTGAGACATCCCCCTAGGTGACACACTCTTGGGAGACTCCCACAGTAGCATGGTCTGGGGTGGTGTGAAGCACCTCTGTATGGCCCACGGCTACACAGTAAACTCCCCTGTTCCCAACACTACACTCAATGGTTTGAGATGTCTGGTTTCATCTGTGACTTCCGTTCACTCACCCAAGATTATATTCAAGTAAAAGCGAGACATCCAATCATGTTCATCCACATAAACTTCAGTATATATCCCTAAAAGAACTCTTTAAACATACACAAAATATTAATGCTAAAAGTAACCAAACCTTAAAAAAAGGTAATGATCATCACCTGTCTTGTCAATGTTCAAATTTCTCCAAAGCTCTCAGAAAAAAAGAAAAATGGGTAACAAGCCCAAACAAGAACCCACTATTTCCACTGGCCACTCTGGTTTTAAAGTCTTATCTCAAAGGTTTTTCAACTGAAACATGGTTGTAAAAAATACTTTAAAATTAGAAGCTCAAAGGTAGTGTTTGCTTAGTACATGTGAGGCCCTGGGTGTGATCCGCAGACCTGCAAAAGATCCTTATATACGTACAGTATTTATCCAGAACTGAAATTATACACACATATTTTTAAAGGTATTTACATACAGTAACATGTAGCGTTTATGTGCACAGCTGGATGAGTTTTGGTAAATGCACACACCTGTGTAACTACCTACACTACTGAACATTTCTAACTCAGTAAACCCCTCTCCAAATTCTTCCTGAGAATCTCCCCACCTGGAGGCACCGAGACCCCGATTTGTCTCACCATAGTTTAGTAAAGCAGGACTTCCTAAAGCTTTCCCAATCCCACATCTACGTGGGTCCTTCATAATGAATGTGGGCAGATTCGTCTTGCCAGACAAGTTGTACCACTCAACTTCTACCAGCCACTTTGTTCTTTTTTTTTGTTTTTTGGCTGTACTGGGGATCGAACTCAGGACCTTGCACTTGCGAGGCAGGAGCGGTGCCACTGACTGAGCTAAATCCCCAGCTGCCACTTTGTTCATGGAGGTCTGGTGTCTTCATTCCTCCCAACTCTTCCCTTACTGCTGCTGACTAGGCTTGGACTTCCAGCACCTTCACAAGGTCCACCCATGTTCTTTTCAAGGACTGGCTCAAATCCTACTTCTCTGTAGTCTCTTTTATTTAGGCTACTATTCCACAGAGGTCTTTTTCCCCCCTCTTATGTCCAGAATAAAAATACGTCCAGCCCTGTTTTCTGAGCTTCACCTGTGTCTCCTCCAGGAAGAGGTAAGCTCCTTGAGCCCCTTGGCTGTGGGCTTATTGGGTGCCCCAGCTCCCCACACGCTTACAATACTGCTGGACAATAGAAGGCCTTTCAGAAGCGCCTTGTGACTCACGTGAACGTCTGAGATTCTGTTGAGGCCAAAAGTTAAGCCAAGAACATTGTGAAAAAAATCAAACTAGTACTTATTTGTCCAGTCTGAGGGAAACTGCCATCTGTACTGCCAGAAAATCTTTTTTGGGATGCTGTTCAAACTCTGACTGGAATCGAGCAGCCCATACACAATTCTCAGAGGCCAATGAGAACCAGCCTGCTGTTGTAGACACACACGGCACCTGCGGCTGACCAGGGAGTGCCATGTCCAAGCAAAACAAAGGACATGGGCAGCCAGGACACACGAAAATAAAGTGGCCACCAAACTAAATTTAATGTTCTCAACCCAGCTGCCTTTCAGAGTCACCCGAATTGAGTGGGTTAAAAAAAAAAAAAATACAGTGCACTGTCACAGGCGGGCCCAGGCATCAGTGAATTTTACCACCCCCCCATTCTGCTGTGCAGTGAGGATTGAGAACCACTAAATTAAATTAAGCACATTAAAACTCAACGGATGAAAATCAGACTACAGATTCCTTGCTATCTCAACTCAAACACGAACCTTGTGAATTCTTAGGAATTACTGCTGGTATAATTAATAGCCCTGGGTCACTCATGGTGGAAGTCCACGGGAACAGTAAACAGTACCCCAAATGAGAGTCACAGAACAACCGGAGTGATTACAAAACACCCGCAGAACTCTGGCCTGCATGATGGACCTCAAGACTCCCACCAGCTGCCAACAGTTTGCACAGGCACCCTGGGGAGCTGGCGG